ATAATATTGAAACGATCGTTATGTCCACTACGTGTCCAATAAATAAATTTGAAAGTAACAGCTTATTTTAAGCGAATAGTGACAAGATTGATGTCTGATTCAGATAGTTGGAGATTTGTGTTGACTGTTAATAGTTGTAAAATGTAATGTCGCTAGTAGTCTGTTAATTGGTATAACCATTAACAGCAATACATTTCAAAAATATAAATTCCTGCCTGAAATTATCTCTTGTGATACCCTCTGGGTAAGGCTTAGATAAAGCAGTTTCTCGCGAGCAAAAGTTGATTCGATTTTGGAATAGCCGTAACAATTTGGTAGTAGCATATTATTTAGCACTATGTTATTATTCCGCCATCGTCACTTTATCCCTGGCCTTAAATGTTTATGTCCATGTACAAAATTAAGCAGTATTCCTAATGGAATTATAATAACAACAATGGACTAATTATTGTTATTAATAGCAGCTAGCTTTATAATATACCACTGGGTTTGGCGACGGTTCAAGAATTGTAATAATACGGTATAATTTCGTAGGTACATTAATTGGGGTTTCGCTATATTGAATCAAATTGAAAAGGCCCATTACTCAATGGATAATTAAGTTTAACACTTCACTATTGCTTAGCGATGTTTTGTTGTGCGAATTTTCCCTTGTAAATATGCTTGACATTGACTATTGGTATTTTTTTATTCCTAACATTTCAAATCACTGTATGTTTCTAGCCTTTTGTCATTCGTATTTTATCGTGCCTCGTGTCATTTTTAATATCTATCCTCGAAACATGCCTTGGATTTCACGTCACGCATTTGGCTTTTGCCTTTACGTTTTGCCGCATTTAATACCCCAGCGAGCGTGAATTGATCGTTAATGGCATATCAACACTAAATAAGCAATTCTTTTGTGAGCGTTTGGATAATTAATGGGTGGAACACGAAACGTGTTAGTAATAGACGCAATGTGTTATTAGAGGGTTCGATGTTTTGTCCTGCTTTTGAGGTGATTCAGATACGAACAAGGCAAAAATATTTTGCACAAACTAGAATAGGGTGTACGTTTTAGAATCCCGAATCGATTCCAAGCAATTTCAGAAAACACAGTTTGATCCGATATAAAAAATATAATAATCCAGATAGTTTCGCTCAAGTTTTACAAATATGGCATTAGCGCCATTTTGATGTACCAATGTAATATGGTAATACATCGATATCGTTGCATTATTCCAAATAAACATGAATTTGCGATATTTTCCTCGTAGTCCTTGCATTCTTTAGAATCACAGCAAACGGTACTGAGACGCATTTGATCAGCGCATCGTAAGAGCATTCCGACAAATAATAAAATTAAATTTTAGAAAGAACTTATCACCATACAGTCATGCGCCCGTTATTTTTGCAAAACGAAATTTAATGTCATAAATTTGTCTCTCTCATAGATTAATAGGCATTTGATAAGATATTTAATAGAATAAGATGCATTTTTTGAATGTAGTTTTTATTTATTGTTTAGCTCATTATTATTATTTCATCACAAGTTATCGTAGCAAAGTTTAGAACAATCAGAAGTAATTTCAAAACATTCTCTGATGATAGTCAGGTCATATCTAAACTTTTAACACGAAAAAGTTTGACCTTTGATTCCATGTTTGGATGGGAAATGCTCAACGGATAATACGATTATCCGATAGTCTTCTTTGTCGTTTTTTAGTCGTGACCCATGACAGACCTTCGGGTGTTCCGTATCAAATTGTTATTTGACAGTTTTTTCCGATTGGCATATTAACAAATATAATTCACTAGAGATCAACATTCAATGAGAACGATTTTGGTTTTAGGCTGTTGCGTGACAATACGAATCAACAGTGCGATCTTAGAATCTTATTTTGAGGTATTATCTTTAAAATAGGATATTCGAGCTCGGCGAAGCAAGCTCGTTTAAGATAACTCCCAATGGTATTTTGTCGTTTGTTTAAGCTCGAGTTTCGAAAACGTTTACTTGTAATTCAGCTCCTAGTAGCTGCAAATTTGAATTTGTTAGGTCTTTTTGCAACTCAAGTCTATGAGCTATTGTTTCCTTTTTTGCTAATTCGTTTCTGTGGCGAAACTAATCGAGATAAGAATTCAGGCGATTTGTATTCAATTTGGTCGTTTATTTTCGAAAAATTTGAAATTTTTATTCCTTATTCGGCAAACAATCATTCGTATAAAAACTGTTCCACAGCTGAAAAAACGTTAAAAATCACTTTTCTTTATATTTAGTTTCACGAATTAATTTTGAAGAGTAGGTTTATAATATTGGTTGGATTCATAGACGAGTTTCAGTTCATTATATTCCCAGTGGCCATATGTTGTCATGAAATCGATCACAAACATCGATCGCGGACATAATTTGAGAAAACAATTTTGAAACAGCGTGTGCGATCGATATAGGCCTTCAAAAATTGATGATCTCATATCTGAAATTCGCAATCATGGCGGATGTGGTTGAAAGTTTGATCTTTTGAGCGTAATAAGGAATATATTTGGAACAGACTGTGTATTGCATATAATTCACTAACACGTACCCAAAAAGTTTAAATTGTAAAGTTGTGCATGCATCTCGCATAGATAATTTCAGATTACGTCGAAAAACTTTTTACACAGTAATATCATTGATTTACTTCGAGAAACCGTGAATATGTTGTCGACGATTTTACCTTAGAAAAAATAGAAATTGTTGCCTGTTGGCACATCAAACGTTACGTAAAAGAAAAAATAGAAATTGTTGCCTGTTGGCACATCAAACGTTACGTAAACTGTCAGCAAGACAGCGGTAAATATTTAAATCGCAGCTAATTAACCACCAAGGAAGAATAATAAATGAACTAGGAAAGAACGGCGCAATTTTTTTCAGGTAATAATACTCAGCCGCCTACAGGTCATGCATGCTCGGTCGTATGTAAATTTTAATCCAAGCTCAACCTGACGTACATAGCGATATGTTGATTAGTCAAGGGTTAATATTGAGGAATAGTATTGACCCGGAGATTTATTTGCGAGATTGGAAAGGCCAGTATCGATCGACCTTTATCGAGCGAGCACAGAACACGAGGTTATAGATTGATTATCTTTCACAAAATATACTCCGTAACCGTTTTTGTTCATATCGTAAGACGAAGGCTCGGTTTCGACCTATCTTGTGTGTTGTGATAACTGGGGATTTATATTTCAACGTTGACATTCTAAAAGTGAGTTCATCTGTAAAGACATGACATATTTACGGATCGTTGATTTGTAGCGTGTACTGACCTTTATCTCTGGCATTGTGATAATGTGGAGACCGACTACAACGATATTTTAGGAGAAAAACTGATAGCTATATTATGTGGATACAATAAAATTGCCTTAAACATGCGTGCGTCAGAAAGTCTGACTTTGGTCAGGTGAAATGGTACAAAATAAAATTTGTTATCGAGTCGGATGTGGGAGACCTTCAGTTTAAACCAATTAGATTGCGTCTTTGCGTACATGCAAGAATTCAGTTATTTATAGGAGACATGATCAGTTTATCAAAATTATCAGTCTGTTAGATACTTGAGGTTAAAATTGACTATCATCAATTCTCTGTTTCTGTATAAATCAATTTGTTCAAAAAAAATTTAATTAGCCTAGTGAATTATGACTTATACAATCTTAAAATTCGAATATTTAAGAATACATTTATTCCATGCTTATATAACAATGCCTTCTAATTTTGGAAGAATAAGATTACCACTGCTATTTATTTTATGTGAGAAAGTACTATTTCACTTTTCCTTGTAATATATTATAGTAAGACTCCTACTTAAAGTCTGTTTTCTTATCAATAGGATTTAATGTGAGCCTTTGTTCCATTATAAAGGTACTTAGTTATTTGAGCTCGAAATAATATTGGTTGCTTCAGGATGTGGGCTATTGTTTGATCAGTGGAATAAAATATTGTTCTCTGTCTTGACTGGATATGAACCCTGTATTATTCTGTTGTTGGGCTTATGATCATTGCAAAATTAGTGATGGATAAATTTATATCCTAGTTATATGTTAATCTAACATGTTTCAGACCTTTTTATTGTGTTGCCTACTTTTTTGATATGTGTAATCTTCTTCAAACTACAATCTTCTTGCTTGCCAAATATGATGTCAAATATAACATATTTTATGAGTAGGGTTGGGAATGGTTAACCGAATATTGGGTAAACCAATTTTAGATGGTTAACCGTTACGATTTTTTTGACCGATATCTGACATCTCGTAACAATCACCTTTATAGTGTACAATTTCCTCGAAAAGGATTGGTTTATCAGAAATTTACCTCCTGTTGCGTTTAATTCAAAAGGATATCACTAATTTATTTGGTAAAAATGTAAGGAAACAATTGAAGTACTAATATTGCTGATTATGGCTTTTTATAAAAATTTGACAATGATAAGTTCAGAATCTGTTTTCGGTCTGAATATAATGTTCACGTTTTTTTTGCAAGGGGTATTAGCATATCAACATTTTAGGGAAGTAGTGACCGCATATATTTTGTGCCATTCCCGCTACATATTAAAATTTGGATCTACGGTATTAACTTTTCACTGCTCCAGTCCCCAGTAGGTCAGAACTGAGAAACTGCTCTGGAATCATTGTGACATATCAATCCGAAATTTTTACCTTTTTACATCAATTTCACTGGGTTAATTTTAGCCGGTTAACGTTTAAAGTATTTTCACCGAAATCCTCTGCCCTAATTATGAGCAATGTATTTTATTTTGTCTTCATTTAATATTAATATCAGACTTTCCAGCAATTCATAAAATTTAAAAGAAATTTGAATTATTAAAATAGTGCAGAAGGCAAAGCAGTAAGCAGAAATGATAGATACCCCTACCCCTCTCATGTTAATTCATTTTGTAATATGATAAATTAAGTTGTATAATGGGCTTGTTTATGTGAAAATTTACATTTTCAAAGGATATCATGAGCTGAAATAATCAAATGATGTAATGCATTCAGATCTTCTATTTATTTTATAGTGGTGCTAGGCTAAAAAAAAAGTAAGCTCTAGCTTAGAAGCCGATAAGTACTCCGATTCCCTGGGTGCGTGAGGTGGTTCACTTGTTGTAGCATAATGTCAGCGTTTGCTAGATTCTTGGTCAAAAGAGCCGCAGGAGACGACAGCACATCCGCCTCATCCAGTCCTACAGACCCTCCAGTGGCTGATGCTGCAGGCTCGGACTCTACAAAGTCTGATACTGGTGGAGGTGTTGGAACTGGAGCTCCTGAAAACAAGGTTGAAGAAATTGTGGACAATCTGTTCAGTAAATGTATGTGAATTATTTGCATTTTTTACTTGTTTCTTCTGAAAGTGTTACATCTTTGTTTATTGTCTCTTTTATATATTTTCTGCAGTACCACAATGGGCATGGATTATGATCGCTATAGGCGCTGGTCTCATTCTACTTTGTATTTTGTACTGCTGTTGCAAAAGATGTTGCTGCAAGAAAAAGAAGAAGAAGAATGAAAAGAAAGGATTGAAGAATGCAATTGATTTACAAGCAGTGAAAAGCTTAGGAAACAGTTATAAAGAGAAGGTAACACAGCATTAATATCTGATTAGGTTTTTTCTATAAACTATGTTTATTCCGAATTGCTGAAATGATAATATTTATTTTTGCATGCATTACTTCTTCTAACTAAAGAGATATTTTTATACATACTTGGCACATGCATAATTGGTTTTGTTTTCATAATGAAATAACATACACATCTATGAAATGCAAAGCATGTTCAATTTTTGGCCCTTCTGAGATTAAGATTGTTACAGTGTTGACAAATATGTTCAAAGACAAAATTTATTATTTTATAAACTATGCTATAAGATGCGAATTTCAACAGACGTTTTGAAATTTGAAATTCTCGTTAATCTTTTAATAGAGAACCATTAAGCGAAATCATCATATTTCATACATTTGGTTCACAAAATAGATTTCATACATTCGATTTGATCTTTTCTTTAAAATGCCATTGTGTTTTACCTTTATAAATATCTGTTTCTTTAGGTTCAGCCTGATGTTGAAGATTTAGACAATGGTCAAGAAAAAGAGGAAGAGGAAAAGAAATTGGGAAAATTACAATTCTCTCTCGATTATGATTTTCAACAGAACAATGTGAGAATATTATCTCATTGGTCAATGAGTGACCAGTACAATCACCTTTGTATATTTACTATGTTTATTTTTGAATTTTGTACTGTTTCCTGCAGTTATTTTATTAATAATATTCATATTTTTCTATATTTTTTTCTCCTGATTTCTACATCTGAAATTATTTCTTGAATATAAAATTGTATGTTCCTAATTCCAGCTGGCAGTCGGAGTGATACAGGCAGCAGATCTACCAGGAATGGATATGTCTGGAACATCTGATCCATATGTCAAGGTAATTTGGAAATTCTAAAAAAGAGAATTTATTAATTGCTGATTTGTATTTGGTGCTGTGATTTAGCCCTAAATCATTAGCCTTTTTTGATCTTCTTTTGCATTTTTAATATCTATGAAATTTGTTAATACATTAGGCTCGAATTCAAAATTTCTCTTTTAATATGAGAAAATCATTTTCTTATATATTGCCCCTATGGTATTATATCTTATTAATTCTTGATTATCTTTTGCTATTTTGTTTAATCTGGAATAACACCTTGACATTCCGATATGGATATTGAGTCCATGCAGTTTTGCTCCATCTTTTGCATTTTATAGCTCCGTTTATATGCTAGTTTAACTTTGCTTTCTACATATGACACCTCATATTGGGCTTTCAAATCTCGGTTAATCTGTTATATTGATGAATGACGCTGTCATTAGCGACAAGCACATAATAAAATATTAATTCTAAGTGACTCAACAATGTATTTATGTTTTTCAATCAGGTTTATCTACTTCCTGACAAAAAGAAGAAGCATGAAACAAAGGTTCACAGAAAGACTTTGAATCCCGTCTTCAATGAAACATTCAATTTTAAGGTTAATATATATACATACTAATATGTGTTATCATAGTTACTTTTATTATTATTATTATATGTGATTAAGAGGTGATCAGGCAAGATCATAACAAGATCTTATTCATGTAGCACTTACTCTAAAATATGCAGATTAATACTAATTTGAAAATCTCAATTATAGATTTGAATAAATTCCATTTGACTATATTAATAATAATATAGATCAGCGGTTCCCAAACTATGGGTCAAAAGGAATCTTAGTGGGTCGTGAAAAGATGTAGAAAGCAAATAAATGTGAATCTGGATTTTCAGCAATGGTTGGGATTAAAAGCAAATTTCGGAATAAACTGCAACTTTCGACTTCTTTCGTCTAAAACTATCTGAAATTGAAATAAATGTCAAGTCTATTATGGAAAGTAGCAGGAAACAAGCTCATCCTTCTCACTAGCTTCACTAAAAATTTAATTTGAGAAAATAAATTTTTTTCCTCCATCAATGTTTTAATAATTTAATAAAGTTAAATGGCCGCCATAAGCTGTGGTAATAAATAGTGGGTCCCCAACTCTAAAAAGTTTGGGAACCACTGATATAGATTATGGAGAATTTGATTATGATATTGGCATCACTAGACCAGAAAAATTTGTTTTTCACCATGCAAATTAGGTCGTGTATTTCTTGATGGGATATTGCTATAAGATATTTGTGCAGTGTTCATTTTTTTGCGAAAATGTGTTGAGTGAGAACACTGCAATTTACATCTGACCTATTACGCAACATGTGATATGTAAAAATGAGTCACGAGATCATGCTTTTCATTCCTGTAATGTATATATATCTGCTTACCTTGAGCCTTCAAGGCTATATACTATCATGTACTAGATTGTCAATTTCATACATTTAAAGTACAGGTTGTTACTGTTTTCAACAGGTCAAAATATAATATTTTGCTAATATCATGATTCATGACATAATATATCATATAGAAGCACATCCAAATCTACCGGTATTTCAATTACCTATATTTTTATTCAGCATGGATACTCTGGAAATCCTGACAAAAGTATTATCAAAATAAGCCTTTTGTTTGCTAAATTGTGGAAAACAAAATCATAATTTTTCTTATTTTTTTGCAGGTGAACTACAATGAAATAGGCGAAAAGATCCTCATCTTTGCAATATATGATTTCGATAGATTCTCACGCCATGATATCATTGGCGAAGTTCGTGTTCCAATGAACCAGGTTGATTTGGGAAGTGTTGTGGAGGAATGGAGAGATCTTGTTAGTGCAGAAAATGATAAAGAAAATGTAAGTTCGAATTCATTCATGTTTTCCAAACAGAAATTGAAATACAGACCTCCCAGACTACAGTGATTGATGTGCTCACATTAATTTTTTATATTATTGTTCTTTTGGATCAATGTGTCACAACTATATTTCTGTTTCTCATTTCCTAGTTATTGCTCATTATTAAAATCAGTATATATTTTTCAGGAGAAACTAGGAGACATTTGCTTCTCTCTGAGGTACGTTCCGACTGCTGGAAAACTGACTGTCGTTATTTTGGAATCTAAAAATCTGAAAAAGATGGATGTTGGTGGATTATCAGATCCTTATGTGAAGATTACATTGATGCAGGTATTTGCGTAGTTGTGTATCGTATAAGCTTTCCATAATAAATATTGTTGGGTGGAAATGTGGAATAATGAATTAAATTAGTATAATTAAACAAGTGTTAATTAGGCATTCGGACATACAAAATGACTGCTTTATTATTGGAGGTGAACATTATGCTGTGATAGTATGTATTTTATAGTAAATATAAGATAGGATTTAGATATGTTATAAACACATATATGTTTTAAAATTGTATCGAATTTCTGAGAATAATGTAAAATATGGATCAACTGGGATATTTTACCTGTTTTAAAAGTCTCGACATTCTTTAGTTTTCCATTAATTTAACCTTATTTTTTAGGGAGGCAAAAGACTGAAAAAGAAAAAGACAACGATAAAGAAGAACACACTGAATCCATATTTCAATGAATCGTTCAGTTTTGAGGTTCCATTTGAACAGATTCAGGTACAGTCTTATTCAATATTTATTTTATATTATTTCATAATCTAAACATTTTGCTTTTTTATTGTGATTAAATTAACTTTATTTACTACAAGTGTATTGAGATAGCATATACTAATCACAATTTCTTTCTCTCCACATTTCACTACCTTGAATATACATACAATAATGGTAATAAATATCAACATGCATTTTATGGTATACAAAAATGTTCTACAATCTAACTAACAGAAAGTCTCTCTGATGATCACTGTTCTGGATTATGATCGTATGGGCAAGAATGAAGCAATTGGGAGACTTCAACTTGGATGCAATGCAACTGGTTCAGAGCTGAGACATTGGTCTGACATGCTTGCATCACCTAGAAGACCGATTGCACAATGGCACACTCTACAGCAAATCGAAGAACAGAATTAAGACAGTGAAGTGAAACGCATGACTATAATTATGAACTAGTTCTAGCATAAGTTAGAGGTAGAAGAGATATATAGACTTTAGTTTCAGTTTCTTGTAATAGTCTTGAATAGCTCTACAAAGAAATCAATAATTCATTACTTTTGTGGTTCTTCTGACGAAATGTATGTCATAGGTATAATCTCCCCAACAGTGACTGAAAATGATTAGAACATTTGGCTTTGAACAAATTTTTAAACGGTTTTTAAAAAAATATTCATCAAATTATCCATTATTACATGTTGAAATATGAGTCTATTTAAATTATTCAGAATGAAAACTATTTTTATCAATGATTTGTTGTTGTTCACATGGAATACTGGCAGGTAGAAAATTTGGCTATGTAACATGTCACTAAAGATCAAACAAGGATAGTTCAAACTTTGTTGATGAATTGTTTGTAAACACTGAATTGTTATCGTTTTTGATGATTCCACTTTTAAGTTGAATATTGTTTAATTATCTGTTTGGTAACCTATTCATATATATATAAATCATATATCCTTGAAGAATTGGATTTGGTTGAAATTTTTAAAAAATGTTAGCAACTCGAATATACTTGCACTTCGCATATGCTGATAGTCAACTGATAATGCAGTTATAATACAAGTTCCTTTATTATGTAGTACAACATGTTTTAGACATTACACTTTTAACATTAAGCATCGATGTTAAGAACACTTTCACTTTGTCTTCTTTTATTCCCATCTCTATCATATAATATTAGCATGCTCTTGTATGAGTTCCTTAAAATTCTTATGGTGCTAAATATTGTTCTGCTTATTTTAATTATCAATTCTTAGTGGTTGCTGTTTTTATACTTATTTTGTGATGAAAATGTTTATCAATTTTCCATAATATAATTCTGTCTTGGGGTTTATAATGGATATTATGATTGGGAATGAATTGAAAATTTTTTGAGGGATAAATTTATCAATCAGGTATTTTCTTCACTGATGTGCAGTTACTCATGATTTTCTGCAATTTTTGGGATGTTGAAACCAATTTGATAAAGAAATTTTCAGATTTAATTAATTTATATTAAGTAGTGAATCTGTAGTTTCTGAGGGGTTCAAGGTGCAATATGGCAACTTAATCCTCTTTTTTTTCTTTGTTCATTCCTTTATGATGTGGGCTGTTGCAATTTATATATCTGTACTCTCATTTTCTTTATGTATGTTAGTTTATTTTTCAGGAATAACGGATTGGTTATTTTCTTGCTGCAATTTCTATACCTTGTGTACATGAATTTTCCAGTTTAACTAAATATGAAGCTTTGTAATTCTTGTAAAATTATATAATGATAATAATTGAAGACTGATTTCAAACTGTTTGGATATCTATGTTTATAATTTTTTGATGGCTAATAACAGACATCGGAATTCGAAATTTGACATTCGTCAGTTGCATTTGCAACAGGGTTTATGATCTCATAGTTTTAATAAAATAAGTTTGTTTCAATTTTACTTCTAACCTATATTTGTGTCTGAAGATTTAAGTTTTTTTTCTGTTGAGATTTAAACATCAAACCTATATTTGCACAGTTCTGTATGCAGTACGGTACACAAATAATTCCTAATGTTTTTAATATTATTGATTTTACATATATCAACATATCTTTCATCATTCGATAATGTGGGGTTTAAAATGAATGTACCATTGAGAACTCACATCAGTCAGTACCTACATTGGTTTGCCAAATGCATTTATTTTCTTGGTAAATATCTGGTACTCTCGTGTTGATATTCATTTCGCATTTTTGTAGTTTTATTTACTTAACATATTGACTTGGACCCATTTATGTATGAAAAATCGCAAATTTATTCTTTCATAACTATACTGTAAAAAGTTATCATACTAACTGTCAATTCACAGATATTGTGAGAATGTTTTCAGTTGTGTACAATCAAGTGTGCCATCATGTATCCACTGGGACCGAACTGACTCATTTTGCTAGCTTTGAATCGGCTCATTATAGACACTGTCATATGGTTGCTACTTACTTTACTAATGACTAACATTGATTAATCAATAATTGGCAATATACTTTATCAAAAAAATATGCAGACAATGTTGAATACACATTTCGCTGTAGAATCGGTGCTTGGCAACTATGTTATGATATAATGGAGCTAACTTTTTATTGTTTTTCTTGCTTTTATATTGTTGGTGAGATATTTCTTTTTGCAACGTTCTATTAGCTCCCAGCTTGAGCTAGTTTATTAATCAATTTAATCTATTTTAAAACATACCAATAACAAGATTTCAATCAAACTTATTGATTCATGGGTCTGGTTGTTACAAAATTCTTGTGAGAATTATAATTTTTATTGGTAATCTAGTTTGATGTTATCAGCAATGTTGCTATTTAACATTTAACATAATGTAAGTTTTACTGTACACTTTGTTTGTTTACAAATTCCAATAATATGTAACTTGTACAGCGTAGAATAATATCGATTGATACAATATATCATTGCCATTAGCTGATGTACTGTGTTTCATTTTATTCTCTGATAGATACAATTGTGGTGTTTAGACCGCTATGAAATTAGTTGATCATCGAACTATAGTTCAAATGAACTTGTTAGGGTAGTGTAGTCTAAGTTGTGACTGACCACAACATCACAAAACGGGAATTTGCTGGAAGTCCGGATGAAAAAATTACATGCCGACGCAACTCTTTCAAATTAACGTTGGATATCCGTGCGTTCCCTAATTCCATTTATGTATTTATAGTATTAAAATTGGTACTTCATTGAAGTTTTCAAAATGAAGGCCTCTGAAAATTTTGGTATAAAGTATTTCTATTTAGCAAATGCTATGACCCGATGATTATGAAAGATCGACAGACGTAGAATCGCAAATTCCCTCTTGATTTGCCGCTAATAAATTATGTATGAATTGTTCTGAAATGACGTGAACCCCAGATGTTTTGAAGCACGAATTGCGTGACGACGTCAGACGTAAAATGAATATCTCGAAAATCCATCGGCGTTCAAGAATTAGCGAGTAAAAAACATTCCGGAACGATCGATTTTTGCGGCTAACGCTGTAACGTGTGTTATTGATATAATGAACTGGAGTTAAGTCCGGGTATTTGAAAACCTACAATTTCTGGAGATGGCCGGCACAGTGGCTTACTGACACAAACTCCCGTCCTTCGATATCATGTTATATATCATCATGTTTAGTTTAAATAGTATAATGCTAGTTAACCACAGTTCCGTGCCATACGGGGAATGGAGAAATGTGGGCTGATCATCAAAACTATCAACTTACCAAATAGATAAAAACTCGAAAATAACGTGCAGGTTATTTTTTCCCTTGCATAACATTGATTTGACTTATCACAATATTCACCGATCGTAACCCTGACATCGTTTGTTTTGTGTTGCACGAAAGCAGAAACTAAAAAATACAACACCTGCAAAACGAAGGCTTCGAAACTTCGAATACTTCCATAAACAAAATGTTGTTGTTGATTTTAAGACGCAGGATATGCGATTTGATGATAACATCAGTTGGAAGTGAGCGACTGAACAAATTTCCCTTGTTACGTCATCGTTAACTTATTGATGATTGGTCATTGCTACTGAAATAAACAAGAAAATTAATGCTCGGTAAAACATACATGACATCAGAAAAATAAATTTGCTGTGAGACTCTCCCATATCAACGCCTTTCGAAATAGTTTTAGTTGGCGTCGGCTGATAGTTTTACTTGGCAGAATTAGTTATTGGTGTAGTTTGGCTTTGAAATACCACGACATATGCCACTTTGAAGTCATTTTTTTCGAATTCGTTGGTAATTTTGTAAACTAACATATTCGTAGTCATAGCTGAATGAATGAATGAAATGTTGACGGAGAACATCAGTATGTGCAACGTAATTCAGGATTTGGTTATGCATAATGTATTTTATATTTTATATATACATATTTTAGAACAGTGTTCTACTGGAAATCGGTATTTGATATATGCCACTTTATTTTATTAACCTAAAAAATTGATAATAGTTGGCGTTACAAAGTATAATTTGGGTCGAGGAATTTCCAATACTAGCATTTGAAATTTGGGGGCTCCCGAAGTATGCGAACCAAGATGGCGGACATCGGAATGTAATATGTGTAATAGGTTAGGGTTAGGCCATAATTTTAGGTATAAATACTACGGGAGGCTCTTGGCTAGTCTTCGAACTGATAATAGGACTAAAATAAGGAAAATTTGAATATTTAGGTGTATATATAATTGGTTCCCGTCTTTTTTGAAAATTTCACCGACTCTTTTTCACAGGAACCAGGTATAAATTTTTATCGAAAACTAGAATTATAGGTAGTGAACGAATGATCTTTTATATATATATACAGTCAAACTTCGATACTACGCCACCCTTTGGGACCGAGAGAAAGTGGCATGGAAGCGAGGGTGACATGGTAACAAGGGTTTGTAAACAGCCATGCGACGTGACAATGTAATGCCACGTTGATTCGCAATCCCTTCTTGAGTGGCAACAACAGGTTCTCCAGCCTTTACTCGGGCAGTTCTCCGCAATCCGCAGACAGATCTGGGAAGCGCTGCCTGCCGAGGAAAAGATGCAAGAGAACGAGGAGATCGAGCTGTCTGACTTTCTTGAAGCTGATGAGCGCCTCGGGACTGGTGGGTTTTTCACACTGGATGAGATTGCGGAGGAGATGTTGCGCAGCGAGGGGCCGCTTGAAAGCGAAGATGATGAAATAAATGTTGAGCAGGGAATCCTTTTGTTCGAGGAAGCCCAGCGGGCATGGAGCACTGTCCAGAAGTTCATGCAGCAGAGAAGCGGGAAGCCCAGTGTCATGCGATCGGCTAGACGACGAGGTGCATGAAATCCGCAGAAAGAACATGCGCCAGCTGACGATTCCTCTTGAGAGAACACATTACAAGCACATACATATATATACTTCTGCCGTTTCACAGCCTTTTAATCGTTTCGTTCGTAGTGTTTATTGTTTCGTTAATACAGCAATATGTACCTCATGTGGCATATTAGCGAGGGTAAGGGGTGGCATATTAAATATATTTTATATTGAATTTAGTTGATGACGATCAAAAGTGGTATAGTAAAGAGGGTGCAATAGTAGCGAAGTGGCATAGTATCGGAGTTTGACTGTAGCCTATTTATAACATGTGGTGTCTGATTACCGCCGCTCACTCTGAGATACTGTTTTAGATTTGCTGTCTCTATGCAAAGCCGGAAATGCGACTTTCGAGATTTTAAGACGATAATTAAGGATATTATGAACGACTGTTTCTCAGTATTGTCGGATATTCCCTGTTAAGAATAAAGCAGAAAACGCCAAAAAAGCAGAAATGATAGGGTTACCATATTTTTGTGACCTCGAAGCGGGACGCTTCCAAAGACCATAGTTTAGATTTTATCAACTTTAAATTTACCGATTTTACATCAGGGGCTTACTTTTAAAACCATTCCAGCCGTCTTCATTGACCATATTGTTGTCGAGAGTTCATGCGCAGCATACCCTCTGTCTGAATATCGCTTTCACTTCGAAAAATAGAAATGAATTTACGTTAACGTTAAGCACCCCTTTGATGTACGGGACTTAGCCTACACGTAACAAATTGTAGCTATAACAAAAAACAACGAAACAAGCAAAATCACGAATTCATCTTTAGTGAGTAGGCTAGGCTACCGGTACGCTACACAGCAACAACAGTAACGATAACATGCTAATTGGTAATATTCGTGTATTATGCTGACTGGCTGAAAGCCAAAGCGGGACATTTGGATGACCGGGAGAGGGACTGTCCCGCCTAAAACGGGGCGTATGGTAAGTATTGAATATTGATAGGTTGCAGCGATGAATGTTCCCACGACATACAGCTTCCTTCCTTGTTAAGTCCGTAACAATGCCAAGTCAGTTGGTACATAAAGGTTGTAAAACTTGTAATTTTAGCGGTTGTTTTCTCAATTTATTTATTATTCATTCATTGCTTCGACTTCGATTTGTCAACTTGTAGTTATACATATAATTTGTATCAAATAACTCATTTTGTATTCGGGAGAGGTTCTGTTTAGTAGAGGTAAACAAAAATGGTTTCGAAAAGGCTGCAGATCATATTTCTGCTTGTTGGGCAGTGTTGTCAATGTATGTTTACCCGACCTTTGACCCAAGAAAAAGTCTCCCTATACTTTACTCCCTATGCAGTAAGACAATTCAATAAACCAGTGACTCAAGCCTACAGCACCGCAAGCCTAATCCGATGTTAGATTACCTCATACTGTGCAACTACCAGGCTACTGCAAACGTGGCTGACCAACACCCTCTTGACATCAGGGCTTACACGTAACAAGTTGTACCAATCATCAAATAAAATCACGCAATCGCCTTCAGTAATAGGCTGCCGGACGCCACACAGTGACACAGCCACAACAGTAGCGAGAACGTGCTAATTGGTAATGGTCGTGCATCGTGCTGTAATGATATATTTTATTCATTTCTTACTCTTAAAAAATACATTTAATCACATTTAATTGAATATTACCTGGCTGAACGCCAAAACGGGACGTATGGTAAGTTTTAATATATTTAGTATATAGCGAATACACGTTTACAAGCCCGAAACACCGAATCGCAGAGATTTCCAAGACAAACGCGACATCGCCACAAAGTGCGCAACTTTTAATATTGATGACGTCATCACAACCAAGGATAAGATTTACATATTTACCCCGCAGGAAAGCCGAACATGGCAAACGACGGCCATGTCGGGCATGGGATTAGTTGGCAGCGATTACATGAATTACGAATTCCCACGAATTAATTAAATAAAACAGCGAAATTTTAGATGAAATATCAGATCTCATAGGATGCTAGAAATTTCCGTACTAAATAAAAGTAACAGCCTTCCAGCGACAACAACATTCTTTAATCATTGAAAATTCAAAGCAATTGGTCCGGTAGTTGGAGAGAAGGTCGATGTTTTCATGTAAAAAAAATACTGACAGGGGAATTGGAAAAGAGCAACAACAACAACCTAATAACCACCTAAAATAATCCATAGGTCCACTCGGGGTCCAATAAAATGAGCATCAAAATTTTGTGCGAATTGTTATGCGACCAGGGGTCGAGGAAACATCCGTTGTACAAGCGGAGTTTGACGTACACACGCACATACCGTACTAAATTGATATAATCATACTATTATTTCCGTGGAGTATTTATTTGCGGATTATTACATGGCTAGTAGCTCCGCAGCTGGAGTGGATATCAGTATATTGTACGCTCCTTTAATCCTAGAAAGAAAAAATATAAAATACCGGTGAGATGTAAAATGTGAACAAATATGAGCAGTATGGACAGGAGCTTGTGCAGGTGCATCGAAATTGAATTTTTTTTACAGTCGCATTATAAAAACATGGTTGCTAGGTAATGGAAAACTGCAACTTTTAGGTATAACATTTTTATTTAAAATATTACAAGAACAGCACAACTATGATGAACCGCTTTATTTAAATTGCCTCATGTGCAGTCATGCGATGTATGAAAATATTGTAGTGCAGGAATCAGACAAATTGAAAAAAAAGCTTGAAGTAAAAACTGTTGAATATCATACGTACCGGTACGTTTTTATCTGTATTATTTATACCGGTAATAAGAAAGGCTTTATTTTATTATATCGTATCATTTATCATCGAAGCCTAAAGTTATCGTACCGTGTTCCACAGTTAAGTTATACTGTTATATGGCTGGCACAATAATAACGTACAAAACGTATAACATTGTGCAGTGCATTCGTGAAGTGAAGTTTATTTTTTCCATCCCAGCATCCAGTAAAAAAAATAACATGACTATGATTGCTGAATATAGGATAAGGGTGCCGTAATAGATCAGTAGACTAGGTAAGGCAGTACAGCAGTACCGGTACCGCCACCGGCGAGGTTTCATGTTTTTTTATAATCTTCTGGTCTTAAATCGGTAAGATGTTTCTTCAAGCAGTGAAATTAGATGCCTCAATTTTTCTCATACTTGATTCTTTTTTTTACAGTTGCAGCAGGTAGACTATTCTGAAGCTCACCTTATTCAGTTATTACTATTTTAGCATCAGTATCCATATTCATATAGACTATCAGTACTGCAGTATATCAGAATATTGAATATTAATATTTCTGTGTATGCTAAAATATAATACCAGAATATACCCAAGCTTATAGTCTTTAATATCTGAATATTGTATCAGGGAGTTCGCAAACAGAGTCATGGATGTTACAAATCCTCTTCAAGTTCCACCTCCACAAGATCGAAACAAAATGGATTTACAAAAAATGTTGATTGATGAACGAATACGATGTGACACACATAAAACAAATTATCAGGTAAGTTATGCAATGTTGCCATATTATATTAACCTACAAAAAATTTTTTAAATGTGGTTTGAATAAAAAAACAATAATTAGATATAACTTTGTAGTGACGACTATCTATATGCAGATATGAAAAAAGGAAATGCACATTCTTGAATGTACGCAATCTGGTTATAATATTTCCTTATTTTTAGGTTTTGAAAGAGCAACATAAATTATTACAAGAAGAAAATGTCAAACTGCAACAACAAGTAACAAGATATAAAACAACTGGTGCAGAATCAGCTGAAGGATTACAGTCTATCATCAATGATTTGAGAGGTGATTTTAATGTATAAAACATCTTATATGATTCCCCAGAGCAGAGGTGTTCATAATACTACAAGTTCTTCTGATTACATTCTTTCAACTTAAAATATTATTACAGCACAGCAGACCAAGAGAACAATTCTATTTATATTCTTAGTGGAGATGCTCCATGTATACTATAATTATTTACTATCTCATATCTTATATAGTGAAAGTCACCGCATTGCTCTTTTTCATTATTAAGCAAAAAAGTGATACTGAATTATCGTACTCTAAAGGTCAACTGGCATCAAAAGAGAGAGAGCTTGAAACTGTTCGTGGACAAGCACTCAATCCACAGAGATTAGAAGTTATTAAAGCTGAAATTACTAAGGAATTGGAAGGTCCTTTGAAAGATCATGTTGAAGCAATGGACAAGGAGGTTTGGATGAAGTTTGCACTTTGTTTCATTGTGTTATTATCTGCATTTACTGTTTATCTTGAAAAAGGAAAACATTTCACAATGAATTTTCATTTTTTCACTTTGTTCATTCACTGCTTCACTGCAAAGAGAGGGTTGGTACTAAACAAATATATCCTTCCTTTCATACAGGTTGAAAAATACAGGGGAGAATATAACAAACTACGATATGAGCATGCATTTCTAAAATCTGAATATGATCACCTTAAAGTTGATCATAAGAGGATACTTGAGGAATTATCACTAAGACATCAAGCTCAAATTTCTGCATTGCAAGAAGAAAGGGATGAAGCTAGAAAAGCATATGATGTAAGAGTTTTGATTTTACCATGAAGGTTGTAAACACCTTTTCTTTTTGTTGACAATATTTTTTAACTCCTCAAAATTTTTGTGGATTGCATAATTTTGAGATTTTGGTTTTACAGGATCGTCCTATGCCTGATGTGAATGACACCCGTAAAATTCAAACTTTACAACGAACAAAAACACAGCTTGAACTTAGAGTTAAAAATTTGCTTGATGAAATAAATGAAATTCAAAAACAGAAAGAATACTCTGCAACTGAATCTGATAAAATTCAAAGGTAAGATAGTTGTTAAATAAATAATTCAACTGTTTTACATCATTTTATTTGTGAAATTAAAGTTTGTATCAAATTTTTCTTCATAAAATTTGCAATTTGGTTTAGGTGTCTTGCTTATCATTTTAGAAATCGAGGAATTGTGTTTGTGCTACATAAATTGGTTCAGGAAATAAGTGCACTCATTTGTCTGATCGTTCTCATTGTTGATTGCAATTTTATTTCAGTGAATTCCAAATTTTGAATATTTTGTTGCGTAGGTCACAGGCACAAGATATTGCTCAACTTCAAGGTAATTTGAAATCAGTTGAAAGCGAACGAAGATCTATTGAATCAAAATGTGAGAGACTACAACGTGAATTACAAAGCAATTCTGAACATAATACCAGGTTAACGCAACAGTTACAGGTAATATTCAATTAAATGTGATTAAATTTTGTATTTTTCAAAATTCAGAAATGAATAAAATATATGATTTTGTTTACAATATTGGATAATTTTCAAAATGTGGCAGTCGCATTTGCATATGCACTTGTCATATGCATTCTTATGATCAGGTCAAGTAAGCTTTACCTTGTACGGGTATTTAATGTGCGGGATATTTTAACAATCATTTATTATATCTTTCATTATGTACGAAATTATTTTTTTTCTGAAATGATGTTTGCTTCATAATAATATGTATTACGTTTGACTTTCAAGTAGGAATGGGTCTCAATTAAAATTTTTATGTTTTATAAAACATCTATATTTTCAAGTCTGAAAAAAATTGGAAACGATAATATGGAAACTGAGGGGATTCTTCCGTAAAAAAAAGATTTCTTTTCTATTTTACGCCAAAATACTTCTCTGTTTTTGTTTCCTACTCCTACCTTATGTTCTACATGTCACTATTAGGAGAAAGAAAAAGAATGCTCAGCTTTCAAAAATATGATGGACGAAGAAAGCCACAAACATAAAGTTGAATTATCAAATATAAAATTAAAAGAAATGAAAATACAAGGTGATCTTGAACGAGAAAAGGATGCTTTAAACAATAGGGTGAGTAATTCTAGTGTGGCTGTACCTGCAGTCTATAATGTAGCTTTGAGACTTCAGAAACCTGAGTAACACTGTAGGTGTAGATCCATTGATATTGTACGTAAAACTGGATCATGGCCCATGGGTGAGAGCTTAATCCCAGTATTTACAATATCACAACCTGAAGACATGATGGTAATGGTAACATTATTGAATATATAGCATTTTGAATTCCTTTTGATTCTTTATAGTACTTGCTTTCATGACAATACTGACAGTTAAGTTACTATTGGATCTCCGCTCTAAGAGAGCCTCATTCTCAGTCAGTCTGTCTGAGTGGGTCATCGATTCACCCTAGTATTATGCGTTTCACCCAAGTTCAGGATTGATGTTTTGTTTCCATCGCAGTAGTAAAAAAACACGCCAATCAGTAAAAAATTTCCACTTTTTCCATAATTTTTTGCCATTTTATAGTCAACTAAGTCGAATATTGAAATTTCGAGAACGCTAGCTACCTTCCACGGATGGAAATACACCATCTTTCATCGTCTTTCATCTTCAGGGGTTCTCAACCTTTTCTCTGTCAAGTATCCTTCGAGTCCCGAAACAATCAACGCGAACCCCCAGTAATCAGACACCGAACAAAGGGTGTGATTATATTGAACTAACGATTTGTTGAAACAACAATTTAGTTGACCAGATGTAACTAATTAAATCTTCGTGTGATATTATTACCCTTGTCCTCCACCTAATTAATGAATTTCAAAAAATCTCTCCAACGTTTCAATGAGCATAATCACTTTCTCCAATGCTCGCAGCATGCTGTTTTTCGAGATTTCACAGTTTGCCTGCAAAGCTGTGAATTTCACCTTGTTGCGTCACAATCACAACAACGCAGCATCATGGAAAATCTACGTTTTTTAAATGGCATCTAGTTTTAATTGACACGCATTTTCCTCTGGTAGTTATGAAGGATATTAAAAAACAGCAACATACAAAAACTCGATTGCCGTCCAAGTACCCCTGGAAATCTTCTCGTGAACCCCAGGTTGAGAACTCCTGATCTAGATAGTCCATGAACTAGGGAAGCCTTAGAAACTTTAGTGCACATATTCTAATTATTAGCTCGCTCGAACTGTTTTAGCATCGCTCAAAATTAACTGACAGCTCCTTTCCCCATTAGTAACCCTAAAATGACGTTGTCATGGAGCATCGGCGGAGATCCATACTGGGCACCTACAGGCTTGTTACTGTATGTTGAATGGTTCGTGAGAGCATTGGCAATTTAAATTTTTTTTTATGCAGTTTTATTTTTCAAACCTCTGGATCTGAAATCCTAACCAGAAAATCGATAATGTAAGATATTTTTCCAACACCTAAGACATCGATATTTAACTTTTATATCAGGTCCGAACTCTGGAAACAGAGTTTAGATGTTGCAAGACATATGGGAGGGAGAACATAATAAACATACTGAAGAATTGGAAAGAGATGCAGTAAGAAGAGTACAAGAAGCAAAGCAGGAGGAATGGATAAAAACCATGCATTACAGGTTTATATTTCATTTGATAAAAATTGTCAACCAGGTTGGTGTTAATCCGTTTTGAAATGATTCATCCACTTGAATCGGTCAACAAATTATTGGCAAAATGATCTCATAAAACACAAATTCCATAGAGTTTTTGAATACTGAACAATGGGGGCCATGAACACTAAAAGGCCTCTGGAAGGCGACCACAAGCTATGAAAGGTTGGGCACCACTCTTTATCGCAGATTTAGTTCTGTGTTATTGAATGTAGTGGAATTTCAAGTAAAAAAATGATTTATTCCAGCACAAGTACAGCTTTCATTTATGTGTGTTGACTTTCGATCTGGGAGTGAAAAGCTCAAGTTACTATTTTTATATTTCTGTTAATCAAAATACACTACCTGATTTTCTAATAATACTTGTCTACCATGAAATCATTGTTTTACAAGAGCTTTGAGGTGACTTTTATTTACGGTCATTCATTGTCATTCATTTTTTCATTTCAGACAGAAAAAAATTGCACTGGAAGAGAGAGTTAGAGAATTAGAAAGAAGGGTTTCTGATGAACAATCATCTAAACAGAATGAACGAGAACAAGCTGAGGAACGATTGAAAATTCTGGAAGCGAATGAGGCATCAGCACAATCAGAAGCTGCTGTTTTACGTTCAAAGATAGATTCATTGTCTAAAGCGTCTGCTGAACTGGAAAAGGAGCGCGGGAGAGCAACGCCACCATGAGACAGAGGCTACATGATAAGGTGTTTTTTTATTTGTATTGGAATAGATGGTGAAGAGGAAATTCTATACAAAGACTTTAATACTTTTAAATTCAATAGTGTCTACCGAAAAGAATTATTCTGGGTGCTCCAAACTGCACCAAGATGGGGCACAACCTAAACCCTAACCTGGTACACATACTATGTGCAGGTTGTGCACCAATTCTGAATAGTAATAATATTTCCCATTTTGTTCTTTTTCCATCACTTTCAAGTAGCTAACGATTTGCTGTGTGTAGATTGGTCACAATCAAATTTCCAGCATTGTTTTATATTGATGCATTCATGATATGTGGTAAATGTTTTCGGCATTTACTAGAACCCCGGTTAAAGTCAAAACAATGCTTTGTGATAAGATGTTTATTCACAAGCATTATCTTTACTCAGGTAATTATGCAGTTGATGTGTGTATGAAATGATCATTTTATGAATCTTTATTCAAAGCACATCCATAAACATTCCCTCAAGAGTTATGCTGAAATATGTATTAAAAGAACAGAATGCTCTTTATTTTGTAACATTTTCCCAGTATTGTTCCGGTACCTTATGAATTTATGATAATAACATTTTTTATCTGACTCAATCATATTATCATCATCAAGGAATTAGAACTTCAAACTGCACTGTCTGGTCGTCAGCAATTGTTATCAGAAATGCAAAGACTGAAAGAAGAATCGAAAAATTGTAGAAAATGGTAGAAGATGCAAGATTACAAACTGAGAAGGCTCAACAAAATGGAGAACGAGTTGTTGAAGATCAGAGGCTCGCTGGGATGGAGGAAAGACACAGGTTGAGTAACATTTTCAAACTAAATTGAATTTGCCAAAATAAAGTGTTTTCCCTGTCACTACAATTAAATTCAGAAACTAATCTTTGAAAGAAAAGTGTTTAATGTGAAGATTACATTGTATATGGTAAGGTCCACTAACTGAAAACATGAATTATATATCATTAGATATTCGCTGTTTCCATCGAATTAGATTTTTTCATAATTCCTATATAAACCTTTATATTTGAATTTTAGATTGCAAGGAAGGATAGATCAGCTTGAACACAAACTATCTATCTAGATTGAGTGAATCCAGTGAAAAATCAACAAAACGTCTCAAAAAAACACAGCAGTTGCTCATCAATAAAATTAAGAGTTTGAAAAATCGTTCCCAACTACTTGAGGCAGAAAAAGAACATCTTGAAATTGAAATGAAAGCCGGGAAACACGGGGTTCCTCTTGAAGAATATAACAGAATGAGGTGACTATAATTATATACAATTGGATATTTTGAATTGATTTGTTATGAAACTAACTATTGATGACCACTAAATGTTCAACTAACAAATGCTGATGAAATGGAAATTTTGATGAAAAAAAATCCCACTGCAAAATTTTCCTAATTTACAGCGATTTTTCCTAAGCAGCGAATTTTCCAAGAACCGTTGTTTTGTTATGAGAATATGATTGGCTATATTATTATTAAGATATATCACCACTCCATCTTGTGTGTGATTACTTTGAACAGTCTGTAACCTTCATTTTAGGCGACGTTTGAATGATTATCAAAGGAAGCACAATGAATTTGCGAGAACACTGGGATTGTCAGAATTTGATAAGATGGTATTTCATAACTCTACCTCAGCACATTATAACACTGTTGTTATGCCACTGTCATCAACACAAAATGGAAATAAAGGTGCTGGTTGATTAGTTCTCCGTACAGAAATTAGCCTTGTTTTTATGTCTATGTAAATAATGTCTTAGCACGGAGTATGTCTTTTAAAGCAGGATAATACACAAAGTGCACTGGTTATCCACATGACATATACGTTATGATTAGTCCATATCAGGTATTAAATAATCTAATTCACTGTGTATATTATATGGGAAGAAAGGTTTTGTTACAAAATATTCCTTTCTCAGGAGGAAGTATGCTGCAGGGTTCTGGTGAGCGCGGTATATCTCAAATATGGGAGCGCCTCGATTTCATTGAAAAACAACAAAAAATCCAAGACATGGAATTGGAAAATGTGGCCAAACCTGCACAAATTAGGACGACATCTGATATGCCAACACGAGATCGACCGTCACGAAAGTTGAAATTAACCACACGTACTGTGGATGATGGAATGAAACTGACACCCCGATCAGAACATAGTGAAAATCGTGATCGACCACAGACAGCAGGTTCAGATCGTGACCATGATCACTATTCATCTTCTAGTTTTGAGTCTGATAGCAAAAGTGGCTGAATGTATGCAGAGTTTAATTTTCACCAATTGAATTTTTGAATACCCTTATTTAATTAACTTGCTGTTTATGATAAGAACTTATACAAATTGATTGTTCAAGGTGTCACATGCTGACAGCTCTGTGGTATTTTTTGTTCCTTGTAGTTGTCTAACACCAAAAGGTTGGGTTCTTTTTGCTAAATGACGAAAAGCAGATTGAAGTTGACTGTCTGAAACATATACTAAGAAAATAGGGAATAGCAGTTCATTGTATACTTTGATTATTATGCATATTATTATACTTTATAAAATATATATTTACAAATTTCTGATATATTATGCTATTAACCTTAGGGACTTTGTTTTCATATAATCGTATTTTTCCTATTCCACATTGGGTAGAGTCGAGTTGGGCTTAGTCGATAATGCGATGACAGGCCAGGGTTATGAAATTAATGTGATGTGCCACAGCCTCCTCTTCATGTTTCGGTAAAAACTAACTAGTGTAGGAAGAGTCCAAAGCCATACAGTGGTTCCATATTCTGTAAAATCATCAATTAGTATCTTCAGGTAGTCAATCAAATTAGCATTTGTTAGATTTTAGACTTGGGGAGACTCTCTGTCCCGTTTCTTCTTACTAAAGAAAGCCTGAAGAAGTCTAGGAGCCTGCAATGAATACAATTAGATTTAACTCGGCCATAGTCACAACTATCCAAATGAAATAGTAGTTTTATTAATATTCTATCACTCTAAAAAATCAAATTAAACAAGTCTTGAAAGGTAATGTAATTATTAATACGAGAAAAAATTATTTTACTATACGAAATCACCCGGGCAATTAATCGGAGCTCCGAATTATTACTTATCGATTTTAATCGGTAAGTATGTTGATAGGTATCTGTCTGTTAGATGCACGCGATGTCTCACGAAAGCGAGATTGAATCTGCTCCAGATTTTGCATGTGCATTCATCTTATCTCGGACCAGAAGCCTATTGATTTTGGGCGAATTATGTCGTATATTCAGCAAGTTATAAATTAATTAGTGATGGGACACAAGTTGTCACTATAGATTAAGAGCGCTGTTTTGGGGGATCCCCAAACTTTCGATCGATAAGTCTTCGGTCTCCGACCGATATTCTCGTTTGTAAATTGGGAAAACTTGAAAGATCTCACTTCAAGAAGAGAAAGGAATCACCAAGACACAACAGTTCGACACGATTTTAAAAGTCAATATCCGGTCGAATTATTTTTCTGATGGCTCAATCACGGTGGTTAGGTAACCAGGAAAAATTCTCAAACGTTTCACAGTTCAGAGATGGAACTTGTATAAGAGATTAGGAACTATATTTTTAAGATATCATAAGTTTCATCTAATTTAAATCTAAGACCCAGCGGTATTTAAGACGGCTCAATCGTATGGCGAACCACGTTATCTCGTCCGGTTACTAGTACATGTCGGCTATGGGATTCGTTAGGGTTACATATATATTTGGTTAGGTTTTTGGTTTGGGTATAAATATAAGAAACAAATTCACACCATATATTTTGAGCCATACCAACTGAGAAATTGAAATCCAACGCTTTTCTTTCAAGAAACGACGAAGTTCGATGACAGATCGCAAAATTTCATTTAGACTGTAAATGTTTTGTATCAGATGAGTGGTGTCCCAAAAATGACGTGTCCCGTCTCATTTATCACTTGTTTTACCACATACATTTCATTGAACTAGTGCTTTTTCATACCTACGTCTCATTTATAAATGGATTTATCCACGTACACCTCATTCATCAGATGTTTTTGTGCACTTACTGCCAAGTGTCAATCATCACGATATTTTTCCTATGTACATGTTGAATGGGTCAAGGTGAAAAAAAGAAACGGGAGAAAAGTACATGTGGTACAAACGGTGCAAATGGGACACGCACATAGAGAGAATGGTGACACAGTACAAATGCAATGATATATACAAATGGTACAAGTGTACTGCAAGAGCGGGTAATAAAAGTGGGGCAATAGATACATGAGACAAGCGATAAAAGTGTGTGGCACGTGAAACAACCCAACTTGCTCTAGTCTAGAGTCTAGATTTAGTCAAGTAAACCCACTGATAAACTTTAGGATTCTTCAGATAATCAACAATTACAATGATATCCTCGGAAACATAAGTCCACAATGTAAGTCTTCTTTTTTACGAACATCCTGCATAAGCCTAAAATAAAATGAACTTGGCAGTTGTACTGTCAAGTGTTACATTTAGATAATTATGAATATATATCTTGTTTTCAACAAGGAGAAAACCAAAATCGAACGAATTTGGTCTGATGCTCTCCACTGGTGTGTACTCCGGCGTGCAACTTGACACCGTAACTCTGAGCGAGTCTTGCACATTTTCATCTGTGAGGCGTGTTCCGTGTTTAGTTCCTGGTAAAGTTCATGGCAAAAATGTTGATTTACAAAAATAGCTTCAACCAAACACTGGTCTCGTAAAATAGGATTGCTGTTTGATTTAAAAGGCGACTTTCTTCTGCTCTTACTGCGCTGTCCAATGTATAGTGACAAGATGTGAAATAGCACCCATTTTGCCGTTGCTGTAATCGGCCCGAAAATGAGACATACGCAAGGTGGTAAAAAAATCCACCACCATTCATCGTGAAAATGGTAGATGGTTGTGTGCAACGTTTTAAATCATTCAAAACTACAAGAATGTTAGATATAGGAAGCGACTATCAGCTATGAGGTTTTGAAGGGCATGGTATTTCCTGTTATATATATATATTTTAAAATTATTCGACTTTACTTGAACTCTAATGTGAAACAGCTTGACTTCACCGGAGTCTCAAACTGTAACATCAGAAGGCGTCCAACCCTGGATTAGATCGAATTCACAATTTTCCAATGTCTGGGATTGGTACTTTAAATCGTCTTACTTATTTCAGCAAAATGAGGTTTGACTAGACTTACCTGGAATGATTGGCAAGACTCGGCTTGTAATTGGGTAACCATCACTGGACATTTACCTAGTCGTGCGTGTTATATTTTTTCTAAGCATTTTACCTCATTTTTCACTGTTATGCTTTCAAGTTTTCTATTTAATCAACATGTTTTAATAATTTAATTAAACTTTTTTTGTATCATTAGTGTGAGCGCTTTGATGCATCAGCCACTCATACAAGTACGTATGAACTACCAACAAACTGATCTCAGTGACCCCTGCTCTTATATAAAATCAGTATATATAAGGGATTAACAACGGCTGACTTCAGAGAAGAGTCATTTGTTTGAGTTCAGTACAACTTCTATTCAACATGTAAAAAATTGGGATTTTTACTGTAAAACCTAACAAAACTACAAGACAAAATGCCTCTGGGTCTAGTGTTTCAATTTATCATTTAAATTTAACTAATCATTCGAATTCTTAAATCCCTAAAACAGACAGTGACAGTGTGATATAGGTATGAGATACATTTTGCCGATGCGACGAGAATGTATTGTGAATTTATTGCAAATCTCTTTTCGGAATCATTCATCAATAGGGGCCAACTATATGAGTACACGTTCATTCCCCGACAAATTTTAAACTTGATAAACGTTCTAGAAATGCTACCCTCTCCATATTTTATAAAGAGGTTGTCGAACATCATAACAGTGAAACGCTCTTTCCAGATGCGGTTCGATCATTTGAAATTGGCGTTGTACTAACTTTTCTGTGAAATATGGATGATTTTCTCGATTAGGACGGTCTGGTTATAATCGCGGTAAAAAGGAGTCTTTATTCTAAAGAAAAATGGCAATATTGAACGACATATACGCAATTATACATTGCAGCCTAGGTCAAAAAATCTAAACCCAAACATTCTTTTTTCAAAACCGTGTGGAAAGGTTTTCACTCCCTAAGTTTCCATAGGGTACTGTAAAAACTAAAATGATTAAGGTCATAAAGATAAAACACAAACTGCCTGGGAGTGTTAGAATCTAACAGTTCGATAATAAAGAAATATAAATGGACTAAGTAAGAGGTGTGCGTGTGATGTTCCTTTATTTTGTTCACTCAATATATTCTGGACGTGTCTGATAACTTGTATGATATAAGATATTAAAAATGACAGGTTCAGAAACACGAACATTACTTTCGTTTAATGCAAGAACAAGTGGCTTCTACACAAAGGTATATGTAACTTTGAATTTTAGAAACATGGTCGTGGCTCAGAAGCCATCAACGTAAGATAGAAAGAGCAAGAGTTACTATGAGAAACAGTTTATATAACAAAATAAATTTTATAAATTTGAGTTCATCTATAAATCTTTACCAGGAATGGTCTCTTTAATCGCACAATTGCACGATACTAAAAGTTCAATTTATTTTACTGATAGAGGGCAATTTTATCTTAACAAGGAACACAATTACGAATATTTGTAACACTAACTAGGCTTGTATGTGACAGATCAAAATATCAAAGATATTGCTCAACAATCTTAACAGCTGGCTTTCTAAAGTGACAATTACCTTTTCATGGTTAAACAAACGGTATACGGTACTTCTCTCCAGATTAATCAACACTTCTTGTCTCTAGTCTTGTACATTCACACCACATATAAAACAACAATTATTAGGCATTCAAATCTGAATGAAATATATATTTAATAGTATCAATCACCAACTAATACAAATAGCAGAGTAACTATTGTGCGGCCTCACATGCATGATAAAACAATAAAATTATTTATTTAAAACATGAAGAACACTGTTCTGTTAACAGATTAAGATCTGGGATAGAAATTTATAAACGTATAGACGTCAGCACATTTTTTCAACAGCTATTGCATTGATAATGTTAAATAGCCTCAGCCAATGATATGCATAAGCTTCTAAGGCAGATCAAGACATTGTCAAAATTGGCCATGCTGATACACTCTAACAGTAGGCCTATATCTTTTCCGACTTCGCATGCATTATAAAATTTTATTATTTAGCATTCTTGACCTAACATACACAAATTTTAAAATTTCTATTTCCAATTCTAAAACAGATATTTGAAGAAAAGAGAAGAAGATTCATTTAAAATCTAAATTGGATAAGTACAAAAATAGTTTACTACCTTTCTTTGAAGAAAATAGAATAGACATTCGTTAATCAACAGGTATATATGCTTCTTTCGCATCAACTGAATAAAATTCTCGAGGTAAATCAAAGTGACGTAAAGGAGCAGTTATATTTTCAGGGATTTTCAACAAAACCCCGGTCAACTTGCCTCCATAGAGACAACCGGTATCAAGTCCTGTACAATTTGACTCTATTTGCAATTTTTTTATCGCATCATGTCCAAAGTAAACATGCTCTGTACCTTGCCAGCATTGTGCCCATAACGTTCCTTCATGTCTCGATGTTGCTACGAGCTTCTGCCCATGAAAATCATCTTTAACCCACGATAAGGATCTCATATGCAGCATGTTATGCTCATCTTGTAGATTCAAAGGATAATGTGGGTGGAGACCTCCATGAACAATAATAATACTAAGTATTGGAATTGATATTGTGTACGGTAAGTTTCTCAAAAATTCAAATTGCCCGTTTGATAGATGCTTAGCCCATGAATTTGCCCACTTTGGATTTGATTCCTTCTCTCCACTCCGATATTTAAGAGCAGATCGAAGCACAGCTTGTTCATGATTTCCTCGTATGCAGTGGATATCTTTGTTCTTCATGATGAAATCCAACATTTCAATATTTTTGGGTCCTTTATTGACCATGTCACCAACAAATATTGTAACAAATTTTTTGTTATTCTTTTTTTTCACAATATCTATTAATTCCATCGCTTCATCAAAGCATCCGTGAACATCACCAACTATGAAAAGGTCACGGCCTTTGAAATCCAAATACGAAAGAGTCCTATGCTTAACAGCTGGCTCCAATTGTCCAAGTTTCTGAGCTGATGTTGCGGTGCTCAATCGCCTTGCCAATAGGGATATACAATATGCGATAAGTGCAGTCATATTGAAGAATTGTTTTGTTCTGAAAATAAAGTAAGATTATTTGAAAAGCCCTCTACTATATATGAAATTATAGATTTATTATATAATTGAATATTGAAGCTGAACTAAATTTTATGAACCATAGTACCTGTGAAAGCTCACTTAAATCTTCATTCTGATGTGCAATATCACTGAAGAAAATAATAATAATAAAAAAAACTAAAACATTCTAAAAAATATGTTTAAATAAAATCTGAAAATATGCACAAATAATGACATTTTAATAATTTTCTCAATAGTGCATGAAGTCAAATGCATCAAATAAAATTCATCAAGCCACAATCACTAAACTAAGGATATGACATTGCATTTAGAACAAAACTAGATGATTTTATTTTCGCAAAGGCCTAAAAAAACTCCATGCTAAAGTTATAAGTTACATTATATTTAAGCATGGTACTCCTTATCGAAACTATTTTTGCACGGGATAAAAAGTTCAATACTAAATTACTACAAAAAATAAACAGTTACGAATGCGCCTTGTGTAGCGTTTAAATTAATTTATAAAACCTATATTACATTACTGGTCAGTGACAGTGATCGTCACTGAATGGTATTAAATACTCTTAAAAACTAAAATATCAATTTATTTTTATTCTCGTAAATTTAGCAAAATACCCCTCTGTGATTAAATTAAAATAATTTGAGTCAATAGCAGGTCAAGTATTAAACAAGCAAATATTTCAACTCGCTGTCAAAATAGTGGCATAATTTGAGATCTATTCTTTCTGGAGAATGAACTCAGTTGCAGTTGTTTTATTGTTCTGATGTCTAGGACAAGATAATGAAATCTCTTTTGTCCTCTTTTTGCAGCACGATTTACAATACAAAAACACACATCGTTCACCACGAGGATTCCCACATTTTGAACATTTCTCATAAACTAGTTTAGTCCTTGCCTTTTCCATTTTTAAAACACTTTCAATTTGCTCTTGTGTTGGAGTCATTCCATTCACTAATTGTCCATGTTTTTTAAACAATTTTTTCAACTTCTTCTTAGAAATTTCAGTTACGTTTTTTAGGGCATCACTTGACTCGAAAGATCGTTTTTGTGCTTTTTCAGTTTCATGCCGAATTGCTGGCCGCACATAAGGCTGGCATACCCAATGCGGAAGAGGTAGCATGTCATTAGACGAATCTCCTTTTTGACACTTTTCTTTGCAAATATCTTGCAGTTCCAAAATAGCTGTTCTTATGTCATATATGCTTTTGCTATTACCAAGTTTGTCTCGTATTTCAGTATGCTTTTGCAAACTATGAACACAAATTTTGAAAATATGTCCCCTAGCATATGACAGTGGACATGGGGGATACTTATCAACAAAATCCAAATATTCTAATGATATGTCACAAACATTTGGAATTTTATTATCAAAAAGTGCAGGGTTATGCAAATTACCCTCAGCCACCATGACGCCTTCAACGCCAGTTTCTTTTATACATCTCTCTACATCGTCAAAATATTGTATATTTCCATTGGAAAAGACAGGAATTTTTATTGCATTTTTTATAGCCTTTACATATTTCCAGTCAGCCAATCCAGTTCGCGGTCCTTTTTGTTCTCTTGCTCGGCCATGAACTGTTAAAATTTGGCATCCTGCGTTTTCTAACATTTTCGCATAACGAACAGTCTTTTCAACTGTCGGAAAAATTCGAATTTTGCAAGTTATCGGTATCGATAAGTTTTTGTGACAAAGTGATACCATTTTGCTTATAAGATCCCAATCATCTTGCAGAAATGCTCCATAATGACCACGTCTTGCAATTGCCTGAGGACATCCTAAATTTAAATCTACTGCATCACAGTGATCTTGAGCCAAAACGCTTGCCTTGAGTAAAATTTCTGGATCGTTTGCACAAAATTGAACAATCAATGGTCTATCCTCATTGCATGATGTCAATGCATCTTTTCTGTATTGCTCATTTCGAATAAATACTGACGCGTGTAGCATAGGAGTGTAGCACAGCTGCGCTCCATATTTTCTTGAAAGCATTCTCCATGCCAGTTCACTTTGATCCACCATGGGTGCAACTATCATTTTGGGTCTTCCCAATTCTCTCCATAATCTGAATCCAGTATGTTCTGATGCTATCTCTTCTTCTTTCATATTTCTCACTTAACGACTTTCAGACGAACCAGGATAGCTATTTTAGTATGTAATCAATAACTCTACTCTATTAAATACGCTCAAATTGTTGTGGAACAATGAATTTGCGTTAGAAAGCAAAGAATAGTAAGTTATGACGCAAATAATTTAAGAAAATAATTGCGAAAAAATATGGCAACTGTCACAGAGAAAAATGAATAATCAGGCACTTGCGAAATATGATACGTCTCCATCAGTCACAAACGGTACCGGTACCGGTATTGTATTTTACCAAAATGTTGTAAATTCAATCATACAAAGTGTATAGGCCTATATTTAATTTTCTGTTTTAGAGTAATCAGATACATCGTAAAATAGGTTTTGACCAAGCTCCTGAAATTTCACAAGTGCCTGATTTCTTTATTTTGTAATCAACGTTGCCACATTTTACTATTGAAAAATTATTTATAATAAGTATAAGTTTATTTCGACTCCATAATCAGCAATAGACGACAAAAAAATAGATAAAAACAAATGTGAAAGTAACTGATTATAGAATCGGGAAAGCGAACAAAACCTAGAGTAAGGTTTGAAACGTACAGATTTAAGATGGAAAGGTATTGATAAAAGAAGTAGTACGTGTTCGCTCACCCAAAAGTAAAAAAAAAAAACTAATTAAGGCACACACAATCATCGAGACATGATACAGTCGGAAGCGAAAAAGCGAGACTTAAAAGTAAAAAGGAAGGAAAATATACAAACAAATAAAAAAAAAATGAATAAATTCTTTTGCCACACCAAATTAATAATTTTATGAGGATTGCCAAATTGGATACCGAATTAGTCAACAAGAGTAATGTATTGTGGATAGAAAAGTATTCCCCAAAAGATATCGTCAAGCTGATTATAATTGGAGTCACCTAATGCCAAATTGCCCAATCAGAATTGCCAAGTTGGATGTATGAAGAGGTGGGCTAGACCTGCTTCACTCATCAAATAGAAGCCACAACAAGCCAAATAACGTCCAAATTATTTTAAATACTATTAATCAATAACAGTACCGGTAATCAAAATTAAAATTAATTAGGGCGGTATGATACAGAGGTAGGAAAATTGGTTAAGGGAATATATATGGTGTTTAAGGTTTAAGTAAGGTTTCTAGGGTCATGGATTATAGGCAAGTAACTTTAATTGAGGTTGTTGATCACTGCGGTCAGTTCAGATTCATCACGGATGATTCATCAGTCTGCAAGTTTTGTTGATGTATACACCTTTCATGTTGACATAGATAGCATTTAAATTGATCATCATGACGTCCTGAAAAACGAAAAATATATCTGCGAGTACAATATTCAATGATTGCAAATAAGGAATCAATAGAAAACTACCCTACACCTTTAAGTGGAAGTTGTTGAATTGTGTAAATATTGATTAATATTGATTAAATATCATAAGACTGCTAGTTGAAAGACCTGAGAAAGAAGAGATTGTGGTTGGGACACAAGAGAAATTGTTCACAAACCATGCAAAAACCTTTCGATGTCGGTCAAACCACACACATGTATGCCATTATCTTAGTCATTAACATCAAACTAACCCTTACACATTTGCATGCTATACACAGCATAAATTCGACCAAGGATAAAAACTTTGTACACACGCAGGACACAGCATATAGTACTACAGCAAGTTAAAATGTAGGGGAGAATCCAAATATACCTCAACTGGTCATCTAATTACAATATTAGGTACAGGAGTTAAATTATACCGTCTACAACCCTCACAAAAAATCACACCACCCAAACAGGAAACAAAGTTCACGCATGTGGAATATCAGAAACCCAACATTGAAAAAAAAGGAAACATGCGCATGCAGATATCAGAATGTGAACAGCCATATTAAGGAGAATCTTATGCTACCGGGTAGAACAAAATAAATGGCCAACTAGATGGCAAAGCAGATGGAGAGAGCTCAACTGCTTGTTCAAAATTAATTAGTAATCTCAGAAACAATAACAATATGGGAGAATCTAAATATACCTCGACTGGTCACCTAATTACAATATTAGGTACAGGAGTATACCCTAATAAATTGGAAATAATATTGTTTTATTGCAATATAGGGATGCAAAAATTTATTTAAAGTCTAATTATCTTGTCAGGTAAATTGGAAACCCCAATGACGTACGGTGAAAATAAAAAATTTCAAACTGCCTGAATTCGCAAGTGCCTGGTTTTAGGGAGACCCCCAGGGGTTCTCAACCATTTTTCTGTTACCGTAAGTACCCCGAGTGGTGAAACAATCAACCCGAACCCCCAGTAATCAGACACCAAACAAAGTTGTAATATATTACCTCACAATTATGCAATTACTGAATTAGCTACAACAACAACTGCGGTACGTACGGTACGGTAACTGCTGTAACTAAATTCAATCTTCCTGCTGTCAGGCTGATGTTATGGGAGGCGGACAACTCGACTACACGTACAACTCACCACCAGAGACAACTCGACTACAGAGAGTTGTCCGTCAGCCGATGATATCGCCCTTGTCCTCCGCGCTCCGCCTAACTACCGGTACTGAACTAACAGACTAATGAACTCTTAACATCTCTCCTAAGTTTCATTGAGGATATAACTACCTGCAATGGCTGCAAAGTCGTGGATTTCGCACAGTCAGACCAGGGAGTCAGACTGTTGCGTATCAACAATGCAAGATCAGGGAAATAGTTTCAATCGGCACGCATTTTCGGGACGGACTAACTTAGAAGGCACTTTTTCAGACACTTACTTAGGCACTCTGGAAAAAATGTAAAATGGGCGTAATAACTTTTAAAAACATGATAAATTAGTTGAAAATATTAATATTAAATATTGAACATGAAAATTGCAACAAGCAAACTCATTGGTAATATTTAAAACGTAGTATGATAGGTGGCGCACGCGCTCGATCACCACATATGCTATGCATTTATTTAGACACTTCGAAAAATATAGAAAATAAGAAAATCAAAATATTAGTCACAATGATTAGCCTAGGTGAATATCCAATGCATGCCCTAAGCCCTTGAGTCTAGTAGTAGTATTTGAGAATAATAAATTGTCACCGGTAGGCACTGGTAATATTTAAAACGTAGTAGGCTATTAAAAGGAGGCGCACACGCCCGATCACCACATATGCTAGGCACTTCGAAAAATATAGAAAATGGGAATTATCACCAATAAAAAAGACGGAAAATCCTAATATGTGTCACAATGATTAGCCTAGGTGAATATCCAATGCATGCACTTGAGTCTACTAAGGGTATTTGAGAATAATAAATTGTTTACCGTTAGGCACTTATTTTAAAAAAAAGGTACAATAGCGTAATAACTGTTAATAAGATAATGAATCAGTTTAAATATATTCAAATTAATTATTGAAGTTGGAAATAAACAAATATCTTTCTCAAGCCTAAATGCTTGGAAAAACAAGCGATTCAATAATCGATTCTGCTTCTGCTGTATATTTGATGGATAATTCGAACTGGTCAATCTGGGAGAGCATCACCTGTCCTGGCAATGGTCGTGAGTGAGTTACTTCAAGCCAAATGCTGCTGGTGCCGTAAATATTACCACAATCAATGCCAAAATAATTTGGAATTAAAAACATATTCGGTAGAACATGCAATAGGTTTATGCAATAAAACTGTATTTTACAAAGTTTCAATTAACTTAGTGGTTTTCAACCTTTTCTGCTCTTTTTCCATTTTGAAACACTGTATACCTCAATTTGCGTACAACTCCATTTTTTATCATTTGTTGTGCCTTCTTGAATCATTATTGAGTGATAAACAATTTTGCTATAGTTCGAAATTGTTCCATATATATATATATATATATGTATTAAACCAGTAGTGACTAAACGATATTATTAATACTACGTGCAAATACAAAGTAATTTTTTTCTACTATAAAACAACAAAATTTATTACTAAGGAGGAATTTCTCCTTGCTGGAAAACACTGATCATTTTTCATCCTCTTCGGATAATTGAACTTCATTAAATTCGTAACAAATTTGCAATGTAAACCATTGAGTAGTATTTTACAACCGTATTTCATTATCTGTTACAAATGTGAGATTGTGGACCTCTTTACAATTTCTGTTATTTTTGGATTTTAGGCTGTTATAAAATTATTCACCTGCGACTGTATATTTACATCACATATCAACATCGACATCAAGTTTGACTGCAGCTTATTGGACACGTAGTGGACATAACAATCGTTCCAATATTATGTTGTTGTTGTTGTTGTTCTTGTTCTTGTACTTTGACACGTTTTTAAAAAGTCGCTTTTCTCTTCGAATACTGGACCAATTGCTTTGAAATTTTCAGTGGTTGAAGATTAATTTTTTTGCTAGAAGGCTATTACTTTTATTTATTTCAAAATTTTGCGTGAATTCTATGAAATTTGATATTTCGTCTAAAATTTTGCTGTATTATTTTTTATCCATGGGAACACGGATTTTAGTCAGTGTCATGACTGGCTGTACGTTTTGATTCTGCAAAATTCTTGCTACTGGAAATTCAGAACTTTTTTGAGGGTACCGGTAGCGTCAAAGGTACCGGTAAGGACTGATTCGCCCTGGTCTGACGTGTCCATATATTTGTGCGTAGCTCTCTTGTTTACAGATGAATTCCGGCTCTAAATGTTCAAAATTACGATAATTTTAAATTTATCATTGACAGCACAGTACGTTTGTTTTGTAAAATATTATACAGTCTCCCCAATCACGATGCCCTGACTATATCAATTAATCTTGGCCTCGAATATCACTGATATACGTTAATAGAAGTATTCTATAGATACTTGCTTCCCATTGTGGTTAAGCCAAATTTTCCTTATTGTGCAAACGTTGAATTTCAGTTCTACAAATTAGAATATCTTATTCGATTTAGATGCAAATGACAGTAAACTTCTCTATCTATCTCTATTTTTTCTACATACAAAATTTCATTAAAATAAAACCAAAAAACAAATATTGATTAACGCTCATTCTTGAATCCTGCAGTTTATAAAATGAATCTGAAAGTATGATTACGGGTGCTTCACAGCTCTTAGGTTTCGCCGATATATCGTAGTGAAAATATAACAGAACGACATCAATATTAAACAATAGAGGTAAAATAGCCTACTTTATTTTACCAAATAAAGTACCTTCCAGACAACAAAACTTTATTAGATGTTCGTTTGCTATGAGAGTTCGATAAATGCTATGATTAAAATACTTAATGTCATATATAATAGTTTTATTGGCAACGCTGAGTCAAAGTGTCAGTGTGTTTTTATGACGGTTTCATTTTTTCAAAATGTTCAATCAAAAATATTTGCCTGATTCTTTGTCAGTCATTATTATTAAAGTTATCCGATTCACAGGTGTTTCTCACTTT